CCACAGGAGTTGTGCTTGCCATGCCATTGCTACTTGGAACAGCTGCAAGGCTGGCACAGCAGAGCTCAGCCCAGAGCAAAAGCACTGCTGGGCCCTCTAAATCCCACCAGTACAGAGCAAGTTAGTCTGTACTAGGAATTAAAGTGAAACAGTTGCTATTCTCAACTGTTGCACCCTCCTCACAGTCGCTTCCTATGCTGGGCCCAAGTGCATGAACCTATAGTAGTTTTCCAGGCCCAGTATTTTGGGGCCTAGTTCTTCATTGATGGGAAACCAATTGCATTGTGAAATAGGAGAGGGGAGTTGTTAGTGTGATATGAGAAAGAGGAACACAGAGAACCAGTCTGATAGCTGGGGTTTAAATGTGGAAATGTGCAGGAGAGCTGCGACTCTCTGAGTCAGCCAGTCCAGCAAGATGGGCAGGGGTGGATGTGGGATGCTGGCCCCAGTCTCTGGCCCTGGTAAGCAGTGGTTCTGCTCCACTTGCTGGGTAAGCCAGCCTCTTGGCCAGCGTAAATACAGGCGAGGAGAAGCTTAGCTCCCTTGTGCTGAAGTAAAAATGGAATTGGAGTTCAGTTTTCAGGGAAAAAAAAAAGTTATGCTCACTGATCTCTCTCTTTTTTTTAATTATTATTGTAGCTTCAAAGGGATTATAGAGTTATATGAAAACAAGCAAAAAATCTTGTCTGCTCTGCTTCTTCTGAACTGTTTCTTCTGTGCTCAACCTTCATCAGGAAACAAAAAGTCCAGGAAAAACAAATTCCACTCATCAAGATTTTGGAGGCACAGGACATTTGAGGTCAATAGAAGAACCTTCAAAGTCCCAGCTTCTGAGACATTTGGACATAAACTGTTACAAAACAAAATTTTTCAGCAGTTCCAGGGACAGAGCAACTGCAGCTCAGAGAGAGCCCAAATTAGTGGTTTATAACTGACCTTCGGTAGATGACTCTTCTGTAGAGTAGTTACCCTGAGGATAGTATGCAGAGGCAAGTGATCTTTTAAAGGCTACTCAGAAAATCAGAGCTGCCAGATCAAGGTGGTATAGTTTTTCTGTGACTCTCTCTGATGTCTTATGCATGAGGTCTTGTGTATAGGGAAATGAGTACCAAGTGTGATGGTGCTCTTAACTTGAGAGCTGAAGCAGTAGTGGAAAGAAGGATACGGAGAGCTCTTCCCTTTCCCGGTAAGACTTAGTACACAAACTAACAAACAAGCAAACGCAAAAAGAAAACCCACAAAAAAAGTCTGAAGAGAGTGTGGAACAGTGAAAAATGAATGAAATTAGGGAGTGTCAGCTAATAATCCTGTTAAGTAATGGCACATGGTTATGGGATTATGGGGAGCTGTAGTAAGTTGATATTGCCACAATATACAATTGCTGCCTAGGGCCCTGAAGGTTCTGAAAGAAAGCTTCTATACACAGCGTGAAAGTTTTCTTGTCTGCAGCAATGGCTGTCCTAATTGTTTGATTAATGAACTCATTAATCTCAGTATTACTAGAAGAAGCACATTGACCTCCTGACTGATCACAACTAAAACATAAATGCCATTTACTCAAGGCTCTGGTTAGACATCTACTTAGCAGCAGAACAGCCCCAAACACACCCACTTCACTAGCAGTATCTGGAGGTTAGGAGAGCGTCACAACAACTGCAGGTGGAGGGCAGGCCATTACCTGCAATTATACCAGCATTTGCCTGGTTATTAAGGTTATAACCAGTCTGGAAACACAATCCTCCATTGAATCCACAGCCAGGCTCCCGCTGACTTCCCTGGAGTTAGGATTTCACTCTGCGTCATCCCAGAGCGCAGCAGTCAGGAAGTGTAATTAAACCCTGCGCACAGACCAAGCCCAGCTCAGAGTTAAACATCCCAGAATAGTGCTGTGGAGGAAAATGCAGGGTGTTCTGCTCCGAGGCTGCAGCACCCCTCGCTATGCTGTCATCCTGTTGGTATTAACTCATGGAATCTCACTGTTGTATTGTGTTCCTACAAGGTAAGCAGTAGTGGAAAGAAGGCTACTGACCCACTGTCTCCCTGCTATAAAAAAGGCCACGCTGACTTTGTTGGAAAGTACATTAAGGTACAATGATGGCATGGTTCAGCTATCATGTTGCTTGATAGACTGCAATAAAGTTATTTCAGTACCTCGACTCGTGATTTTTGAGTCAACATGGCCAACCCCCTGTTTGGAGCTTGAACAAATGCCTTTGGCATGTGTCGCTGGTGCTTTTTTGTCCATTAGGAGTTGCGGCTCACTGGATTCGATGAACAGAGGTGTCTCCCAGGGGCCAAAATACAAGCTGACGTATCTGAAGTCATTTCAGCTAGCTGTATTCACCCTGGCTTCCTCGGTAGGCCAAAATATTAATGTTCTAGGCTTTCACCTGAGGTTATAAGAAATTGTTGTATCTTTGAGATGCCAGGCCAGAATGGTGTCAAACTTCAAATCAGATTCAGTGTCCAGGGTCTTTCAGTCATTTCAGACTGCCCATCACTGCTATAGCAGGGAAAGGTTTCATCACTGCTTATGCTATTGTGTGGGCTTTTGTAGTTTTTCTGTCACTTGCCTCCAGCTCTGCAGAGCTGAAACAAACGCAGAGGTACACACCTCCAGCCGTGGCAGTGGGTAGAGTTGTCAGTTGTCCCATTTCATTCAATTCTGAAATGTTCAAATCATTTTTGTTTTTGTTATAGGTTGCTAGCAGGCTGAAAGACTTGAAGGTCGAAGGCTAAGAAACTGACTGTTTGCTGTTTTATCCACAGTGAAATAGAAAAATGGTAGTGCTGTAGTAAATTTTCCTCCCACACAGGCATGAAGTTAACAAGTTTGCACTCAGATAAAAACAGGAGGTTGCTTCTGTAACATATCCATGGCTACCAGTCTGTCAGCTCTCTAAGTGGCCTTTCTGTTGCTCTGGTTAATGACAAACTGGGACTCTGCCTGCTTCATATCTGCATTTGCCATGGTAACTCATCTGTCTGGGCCTTCATCTCTGGTTCCACCATTAAGGATCCCCAGAAAAGCAGGCTGGGGCTCCCTGAAATTTGCTGTCACCATGGGGGACAACACAGAGCAACAACCTCATTTCCTTACCTCCAGCAAAGTTAGAGGGAGACAGAAATTCAGTATTCACTGGCCAGCAGAAAACAGTAACCAATCAAAAAGTCAGCCTACTGTCAGTTTTGATCACATAGCTCTTGTCTGGAAAGTTCTCTGAAAATTACATGAACCCTGATGAGATGATTTATTTTTTCCTATCCAAGGCTGAATAAAAATACCATATCATTTGTAGGAACTGTCCCTCAGTGCCACATCCACATGGCTCTTGAACACCTCCAGAGACAGTGATTCTACCACCTCCCTGGGCAGCCTGTGCCACTGCCTCACCGCTCTTACTGAGAAGAAATGGTTCCTAATATCCAACCTGGCACAACTCAAGGCCATTCCTTCTTGTCCCATCTCTGTTACCTAGGAGAAGTGGCTAGGTGAAACATGATGTGAGAGACAGGGTGAGGTAAGATGGTGTAGATTTAGGGTTTTTTTAAGCACATGCTAGCAGCAGGTGTAACCTCGTTCTTAAGAAGTACACAGTAGTTTTTGATCAAATAAGTTGTACGGTGCTGGAAAGCAGTGCTCCAAGTAAGAGCAAAACCACAACAGCTTTCATTTTTACCACTTAGAAAACAGCTCCTATTTAACACAGCAGCTCAGCTATTCTTAGCATCTCTAAAATGCTGAAACGCTAAATGAGGCAGTAGGCTATCATGTTTTTTCTCACCAAGAAAGCCTATTGTTGGCATGATACCTTAGCAGAAAGCAGCAGTGTTTGGAGGAGGATCCTCCCCACTGGCATAGGGAACCATGGCCTGTGCATTGTGGCATTGTGCCTGCTTGAGGCCAGGTGCTTGTTTCCATCCATGGAGCTATTAGTACAGGTGAAGGAGCTTCAGGCAACCCAGCAGCCATGAACATTGGTGGAGAGTTTATTTGAGATTCATCTGATAGCACTGAGGAGGGCGATGGAACAAGCAGAACTAGTTTCATTACTGTATGTTGTTTTGTCTTATGTAGTCCACAAACATTCATGAACTGTTAAGTAAGTAAATGACACGCTTGGGTTTTTATTTCTGTACCCTTACACATAAGCAAAGTTCTTAAACTGCTCTTCAGGAGAATGGTGTGGCAGGCTTGAAAACTAGGCCTCTGAGCTCTTGCAGCGGGGCGCAAAATCCAACAGAGCTGCACCGCCATGCTGAGCTGTGCCTTCTGTTTGCTCAGAACAAGACCACCATGAGAGGCACAGTTACATGCCTTGGCCAGGGCCAAGTTCCATTAAGATGGAAACCCACATGCTGTCCCCGATCCTGTGCCTTTCCCCCAGCCATTAGCCAGAGGTATGCGATATCTGTGCTTCGTTAGGCTCCGGTTCAGCAAAGCATGGAGACCGGTGTGCTCAGCCGCTTGGCAGCTTCCTTCCTCCTCTGGGGCCCCCACGATTGTTTAGTTGAAAACCCTTTAATTTTTTGATTTATTCTGTTTATTCCCTTAAGTGCCTTAGACATTACATCTCGATTTATGCCGGTAAATCTTTCTCTTCTTGTTTCCTATGATCATAAACTGATTTAGGCTTGTTTTAATCTTGCGGTGACTCAGGTAGATTTATGCTCATAAAGACAAATGAGGCGGAGACTATTTCCTCTGGAAGGACTGCTGTGATTTCAATTTTGTTTTCTAACTTACGGTAATATTCATTATGCATTTTAATGAAAAAATACATCTCTGAGATGACAGAATTCTTCATCATATCCATGTGCATGTTCAGAGAAGGATATAAAGAAATTCTGCATGAAAATATGTGTTAGGGATGAGTAACACACTCTGTGTACTTACAGCTGGTCTGGACTCTGCATATCTATTACATCTGCTATCAAAATTTGCTATCTCAGATGTATGCAAATTTATTATTATTATTTTTTTTTTTTTGTAATTGTAGGCTGGCAGTGATGGGGAAAGTATTGGAAATTGCCCGTTCTCGCAACGTCTCTTTATGATCCTATGGCTAAAGGGTGTCATATTTAATGTCACAACTGTGGACTTGAAAAGGTGAGATCATAATAGGAGTTCTCATTTTTAGAACAACTTTACCATGATGGTGATTTAAAAGAATGAGTCTTTTTGATTTGAAATGCATGCACGCAGGTTAGTGCACATTACTTACACTGCAAGTTGGCACTGTGCTAACAGGCTGTGCGCCTGGTGCCTCTTTCAGGTTCACTGGTATGAGGTGGACCAACTTCTTTGAAACATTTGAGATTTTAATCTGTTTTCCAGTAGGTCTCTGTAACACAAGCCTGAAATTGTAGCGTTTCAGGGTGCATTCAGAGAGGAGCTAGATAATTCTGACACCACCAGCATGAGGAAGCTGGGTGCACTGTGCTTTTGCAAGAGATGTAGCCTGCTACGGTGCAGTTGAAGCAGATCATTGCAGTAAGTTGTCGGAGATGAAAGAGTGGTCCCCACTGTGATTAACCCAGCCTCTTTTCTCCCTCTAGAAAACCTGCTGACCTGCAGAACCTGGCCCCGGGGACGAACCCACCCTTCATGACGTTTGATGGTGAAGTCAAAACTGATGTCAATAAGATTGAGGAGTTCTTGGAAGAAAAGCTAGCACCGCCCCGGTACAGCATTGCTGTCCTTTCTTCCTGCTTATAACCCAAGTTGTGAGAAAGTGTCTGGGAGCAGTGCCTCCAACCTGATTGCAAACTGGGGAGGCCTGACAGTGTGTGGCATGTATCCTAGGGTAGCCCTGACTGCTGGCTGTGTTCTTCCCACTGCCTTTGCCTTCACCTCAAGTTCATAGTTGCACCACTACAATCATTTTCAAGACATGAAATCCACCCTCCTGCAACAAGTATATGCAGAAACCTGCATACCACTGCAGAAACCTGACCTCTTGCTTGTGTTTATTTGAGGTTTCCCTCCTCACATTGTACAAATAATTCAGGGAACAGGTAGTAGAAAGAAGCAACAGTGGAAGCCTGCCACACTGCAGGAGTGCTGGGGCACAGACCATTGCAGCTTATTTTGCGTGTCTAGGTAGGATAATCTCTGTGTGTGCTGCAGGCTGGGTTTCAGACCTGTCCTCATCCCAGGAGCAGTCCTCACCTCTCCCCACATCCTCTGCCAGTGGTGTCATTCCCCCATGCAGGCACCTTTTCCTTCCCAGGACAGCAGCTGCCTGTTCAAGCAGCCAAACTTGACTTGAGCTATGCGAGCTGCTATGTGAGCAGCTACTTTTTCCTCCTCTCTGCCTGTGGCAGCAGCAGTGACTGGCCTGGCCACTCTGAGCTTGCTCGTGCATGTGCAGGACAGGCGAGGAGGCTGGAGGAGCAGCAGTTGGTGCTAGTGGGGACTTTCCCTTTGCTCCTCCTCACGGCTCTACTCAGCCTCACTTCCAACATAAGACAGCCTGGAAGAGGCACTGGGTTGCTCAGGCAGTGGTTGCAGCACAGTCATTTCCCATCTGCCCCAGGAGCAGGAGGTGAGCCAGGTGGTTTGGGTAACAGGTGAAATTCACGCTTAGAAACTGGTTTTTAGCTTAGGATGGTTCTCTTTGAAAGCCCTGAGTAGCCATATATTGTAACACTTCAGTTTCAGTGATATATATATGAAGTAATTAGTGAAGGTGAAAGTAAAGGCTAATCCATAATTTTTTGATTCTTTCAACTCCTCAGGTATCCCAAACTTGCACCGAAGCACCCTGAGTCTAACTCTGCAGGAAATGATGTGTTTGCAAAATTCTCTGCATTCATAAAGAACCCAAGAAAAGATGCTAATGAAAGTAGGTGCTACGATCCTTCTACCTGTCCTGATATAAGTTAGTCATGCAACTCCTGTGTCCTACAGCTCCATCTCCACTGTTGCACACCAGCTCCATCCCCTGTGAACACCCCAGCCAACCCTTGCTGAGCCCTGCAGTTTCTGGTAACACAGACCCAGTTTGGTTTTTCTCAGAACCCCCTTTAGCTACTTAGAGCTTTTATCCCAGCATTACATTTTAAGCTTTGGATAAAGGAATTGCAGGAGTTAGCATGGCTGGGTATCTGCGAGCTGGGCTGGTGCCAGGAGACAGGATGCAGTAGGCGCCTTTCTGCTTGGTGTTAGAGAGACCTTGGTACAGGCTTGAATGATCTTTTTATTGTCTTAACCTAGATCTGGAAAAATCTTTGCTTAAAGCCCTGAGGAAGCTGGACAACTATTTAAATAGCCCCTTGCCTGATGAAATTGATGCTTATAGCACTGAGGAGATCACTGTGTCCTGCCGGAAATTCCTGGATGGAGATGAGCTCACCTTAGCAGATTGCAACCTCCTACCAAAGCTCCACATAATTAAGGTTTGCATTTGCTTTTCAGCCTCCTGAAGAGAAGGGCAGCCTAGAAGCTCAGCCTCTTTTCTAAAAGGCAGAGGAAGTCTGTCTTTTTTGAAGCCACACAGTAGCTGTGTATGGACAAGGAGTGCTAACGCACAAGGCCATTTCAGTGCAGCACAGCTAGGCAGATCTTCACATTGACAGCTGGAGCTGGAATATCTGGTTTCATATTTGGACTACTATTTGACTACTTTCTCTACACCTCTCACAAATATTAAATGGGTACTATATTCAGTGCTGTAGAGAAATATTTCTATTTGCATTTCACATGCAAAGTGCCACAGACCGATAAGATTAAATGATCTTGCTCTTGCTAAATGAAGAAAGCAGCAATTGCTGAAATTTGACCATCTCTCTCACCTTTAATCCATATCCCTGAGCTTGTTTAGCCTGGAGAAGAGAAGGCTGCAGGGTGACCTCAGTGCAGCCTTTCACTACCTAAAGGGAGACTACAAACAGAAGGGGAGTCAACTCTTTACAAGGATAGATAATGGCAGGACAAGGGGAAATGGCTTTAAGGAGGGAAGATTTAGGTTGGATGTCAGGGGGAAATTCTTCACAGAGAGAGTGGTGAAGTACTGGAACAGGCTGCCCAGAGAGGTTGTGGATGCCCCATCCCTGGAGGTGTTCAAGACCAGGTTGGATGGGGCCGTTGGCAACCTTGTCTAGTATTAGATATGGAGGTTAATTGCCCTCCCTGCAGCAGGGGGGGGGGTGGAGCTTGATGATCCTTGGGGTCCCTTCCAACCCAAGCCATGTTATGATTCTATGATTCTGTATGTGTAATACAATTTTTCTTTTATTTTCTTTATAAAAAGGTTGTTGCAAAGAAATACAGAAATTTTGATTTCCCAGCCGAAATGACGGGGATTTCAAGATACTTGAATAATGCATATGCAAGAGATGAATTTACAAACACTTGTCCTGCTGATCAAGAAATCGAGTATGCATATTTGGATGTTGCAAAGAGAATGAAGTAAATGGAAGATGTTTCCCTTCTTTTATACTTCTGAGATTTTATGGGCACCAGCCAATATGGAAACAAAAAAAAAAAAGCCAGCACGCATTCTGCAGTGCAATTTTAACTTCTGTTATTGGCCAATCCTTCTTTTGTAATAACTGTGTAGCACTGTTTGCTTGTTCTTAAATGATGTATGTGCATCTGTGTCTGTACAGATGTACACACACAGGAATGTGTGTTATGCACTCCAAGTTAAAAGCATCAGTCAGTACTCAGGCTTTTGCTGAAGTTAGAGAACCAGCATAGGTCATGCAATTATAGCAATATTACAGACTAGTGACACGCTAAATGACTGAATTTAGCGAAGAAATAGCCCTGTTCCTAACACACATGTAACCTGTCATTACTGCTGCCTCTGATCTGTGTTTCACAGCTGTTGCCAAATTTCGCAGTTCCCGGGAAGGTTTCTGCTTGCTTCTCCCCAGGCCTCGGTGGCCCCATGCCAACAGTTGGCACGCACGCAGTACCCTGGTTAATCCAGGAGAGAAGCCAGACTGGAGGTGGGACCACACCTGGCTTCCCAGAAGCCCTCTCCTCTGTGCTAGAGACCTGCAGGGCAGGTCAGTGAAGAACAACTTGTCTTCACGTTGCATGAACTGTCTTTGGTATGAAAGAAAGTAATTAGAAAGATCCCGCCTTCTCCTCTGTCAGGGCTGCATAACCCATCCAGCTTCCTTCAGACAAAGAGAGGAATGCAGACTGTCACTGGCCCATGGATTATTTGTTAACAAATATCTGACAAGGGAGGAGGCAGAGGCTTGGTTGTTGCTGCAGACTCAATAAATGGGTGAACATCTGCCCCCTGCTACTGGTGCAGGATCCCTCTGTCATCCTTTTGTGACTCCCATTTGGTTTTGGAAAGCAAAGAGGAGGGTTTAAGAAAGCAGTAGTCCTTTTATGCTTCCCTTTCTGGATTTAGTTGCAGGGTTTGCATTTTCCCAAGCAGTCACAAGGACTTCTTTGCTGAGAGCTTTCCAGATGTCCAGGCATTGTCCCACTGAGGACAACAGAGGCATAGCTCCCGCCTGGGGGATGGATGAGATGAACCTCTCCAGGCTGGCATGACCCTGTGTTCACGGTACTACTAACAGATATTCTCTGGGCTTCATGGAGCATGCTGTTGGAGAGGTGTCAACTCTGAAAAGTCACATCCATGTCTGCTTTTTGCTGAGCAGGTCCTCAGCAAGCACCTAGGAGCAGAGGGTGCAGTGGTTTAGTCATAGGGTCATCTGGAAGTTTCCTTCTGATGCGTTTTGCCTGTATGTACAAAATAGACGTGGAAACAGCTAAAAATAGCTTTTGTAGCACCTACATCCATACAAAGACTGATACAGAATAGCCATTCATCTTTGCCTGAGTTAAACATAGGCTTGCTTTCTAACAATGCATTACTTAGGGTAATAGTAGGTGTTGGGTGTATGGTGTCTGTGGCTTCCTCTTACACACTACACAGTTCTTTTGCAAATGTCCTAGCATGATTATTTGTAAGCAATATTAAACACGCAATTTTAGTTTCTCTAGCTTCTCTGCAGAGAAAACAGGCACAACACCTTTCCCTTACAGCCTCTGTTGTGAGGTTACGCACTGGGGTTGGTAGCTGAGCAGTCACTCTTCATTCCTTACTAACTGTTACTTTGTATTTTCAAATCCGTACCTGAATATATAATAATATATAAAATAAAAATCTGTATACTCTTTTCACATGCCTTACAAATTTAAATAGAAAATATACAAATCCATAAGTAATTTGAGCAGTGTTCTGTCTTTATTTCCATAGTAATTTCCTGGCAAAGATGCTTTGCAGCAGTGGCCTGGATTCCAGCAGGCAAGATTTAACCCAACTTTGGTTTGTTTTGGAGGAATGGTGTCTCAAACCTGCAGTTGGATCTGGGAAGCAGTGCACACAGACTGTGCTCCTTACTGCTGAATAAAAATACAAAGGGTCAGTGCGTAATCCCTGACCTTGGGGCCACCTAGCACAAAGCACATTCCCTCTGCTGAGGACTGGCCATGTTTTAACAGTGTGGTCTGGGAAAGAGGAGGTTTTGACGGTTCCCTTACTGCTCATACCCATGCAGAAGTTTGTGGCTCCAGCTCTCCACAATGGGATGCTGTCTCCACAAACGTTGCTATCTAAATCAGCAAATTTTGGTTGATATTTGCATATTTCAAGCAACACAGGGAAGAGACGTGCATAGAGAAGTTGTAGAAATGACCCAGTGTGTCAGCAAACTGCAGTTACTTCATTTGCCTAGGATAGGAAGAGCTAAAGTGCTTGCATAGTCCTGCAGTGTGTGGAGCCATACCTATTACGTTTTGAATGTCTAATTCCACCCCCTGAACATGTTTAAGGAAAAGCTGTTGTCCACCTTTGAGTTGCTCTATTTTTAAAAGACCATGGAAATACTTATAAATATACTGGAGAACAAATAATATGATATAAAGGGAGAGAGAAAGCAAGTTGTGTTGTTAATTATATCACCACCTGACGGAGCAGCCTTGACAAGGTGTAATACCTAGATACAGATTTGCAGTGCTTGACCTCATGTAAAAGCAGAGATTATGTTCAGTTATTTTAAGGCATGCCTGTGCAGACAGAGCTACTGATTTCCAAATGCTTACGAGCACAAGAAGTGCTCTGTAACATTGCTTGTATAAAATTTGTTTTTATTGTTATCGTTTTAAATACCAATGTCTGTATTTCCCCTTTAAACATCTACTATATTCAAAGAATATCTGCTCAGAATGTGAATTATTTTTTCTTCTGTCACCTGTGTAGAAAGTTCTTCAGGTTTGAAGACTTTTTTTGTCAGCTTCAGTATCTCAGATAGTCTTCAGAATGACCCATCAACTTGAAGGTTAAATACTACTTGTGCTCAATGCAGTAATTCCAAAAGCATGCTGGAATAAAATCAAATACATGGTAATTAACTGTAACATATTTCCCCCAATGCATTTCATTTTTGAAATAGCTTCAAAGCACTGAAAAATGAAACCTCATGAAAGCAAGTTGGTATCCATCGTCGGTATCAACATGCTATTTGTTTGAGTATAAGCAAATATCTAAATCCCATGAGCTCCTTACAGCTGGTTGAAGTTTAGCTTAAAAGCCACACCCGCTGGTTATTTCTAAGCTGTCAAGAACCAGTAATCAAGTGGTGAGGTGAGGCATGACCCCCAAAAGGTCAAATCAACAAAAGCTATCAAAAACATGGTAGAGCCTTGACTAGGCTGAGCCTTGACTTCATAAGTAAACTTTCCTCTATAGTGGCCACCACGAGCGCTGCTGTTGCTCAGTCACTCTTGGCCTCACAGATGCTCCCTGTGGACCCTTCAAAGCTACTCAAAGAACACTCACCGTGACTTTACTGATCACACATGGGATATGCTGCCCTAAAAACTGAATTTCCTGGTGAGCTATTCTGGATAGCTGGCAGAGATGGAAGAGCAGAGATTTGCCTCATGGCTCTCTACTACACTCTCTAGTCAGCAGTACTAAATGGCATCATATTCCTGAGCTACTCTTAGTTTTCTTATGAGACAGAAGGCCAGACTTATGTCCTGCTTCTGAGCTATGGGGTAAAGCAAACTTGTGGATTACCTAAGTGATGGCTCAGATCAGCACTCTGTTTTCCTTCATCTCTGAACTGCAAAGAAGCGAAGATTTTGGACTCCTGAAGACCTAAATCTGACTCTTGCTGATTAAGTTTTTATTAACTAGCAAAATGCAAACAGAAAAATCTCGTCTGGAAATGAACTGATGGAAATCAGAGTTTTGTTTCAAAATCTGAAATTTGTCCAACTTCTAGATTAAACCAATGAACTGAAATCAAAATAAACATTTCTTTTGAAAGCTGAAGGCAATTGTTTCTCTTGGGTTTCTTCTCTTTATCATTCCCATTTATTTATTTATTTATTTATTTTCAGCGATGAAAGGGGAAAAATAAGAGATTGAAGTGCTGGAGAAGGGAAGAAAAGCAAAGAGAACAGAATACGAAACCTTGGTATTTCAACTCAAGACTAAAAAGTAACACAACCTATAAACCAAAAGTGTATCTTCTGCTGAAAAATACAGTTGCTTTCATCTAATTTGTCGTTGTCTTTTCTTTTCAAAACATTAGGACCTGTACCAAATCACTCAGTTCTCTTCACTAAGTGAAGAAAAGCTTTTCCTGATGATGAAAACTCTGCTACTTTTTTGCCTCTTATGCTATGCTCACAGGAAAGATTGCAAGGAGTTTGACCTTGCACATGTTGTATGAAGGATGCTATGCATCCCACTGCTCAGACACAGCGTACAAGCTCTGCATGCCTCATATGTAACCATGCTGTAGCAGGTAAGAGTGTTACAAGCCTCTCTGCCTAAAGATGCCTGAGCTAATGGCCCGCAAGATGACAAGGATGTGTCCATGCAGTAAGAATACTGACTGCAGTATCTTGTGTGGATGGAAAGTACTACCACTACATCCATAGGCATCCTCCTAAAGGTGACTTCTCTGCTGGCGTTAGCAAAATCTCCTCTGAAAAACCTCAGATCACTGTGGATGTAATTTGAACTAAACCATAGATCTCTCCCCACCTCCTCCCTCCCTCCCTCCTTCAACTATCTCATTCCAGATCAAGTACATGCCTTAAGAAATGCAGTAGCAAAAGCACACTCAGATAACTGCATCAGAGAACTGATAAAACTGTCAGTCTGCTGAAACACAGCTGGTTGGGTGGCAATTCCTAATCAGGTTTCCACTGTGTCTGCTGCAGAGTTGAGAGCAGCTACAGCTGTTGCCCATATTCCTGCAGACTCATGATGCCCATTAGTTGCCTTGGCTCCTACAGAAACACAGAGGAACCACAAGTTCACTGGCCCTACAGTGTGCTTAGTAAGTGAGGTAAACATCTCCTGCTGTGCTTGAACCCTACTTTATGGAGATTCAGGAGATTCTGCCCAAGCGTGGGTTCAGGCAGGGCTGAAGCGTTCTCAGTGTGCATAAAAAGGGATCATGAACCCTTGTCACAAATGGAAGGCTGTTACGCTCATCTCATACCCACAGAACTGAAAGGGGCACAAAGACAATGTTTCTTGTCCAAGGACACGTGAGGCAAACTAATGAAATTAGGTCTCTCACACTTCACAACCAGGCAGGGGAGAACTTTCCTGAGAGTGACTTTGTTATAAGTACATGGGGAGATGTGCAGTTCTTCATTAATGTAAAGTCAGATCTGATTCAATTTGATAATCATAGAATCACAGAATGGCCTGGGTTGAAAAGGACCACAATGATCATCCAGTTTCAACCCCCCTGCTGTGTGCAGGGTCACCAACCAGCAGACCAGGCTGCCCAGAGCCACATCCAGCCTGGCCTTGAATGCCTCCAGGGATGGGGCATCCACAGCCTCCTTGGGCAACCTGTTCCAGTGCCTCACCACCCTCTGTGTGAAAAACTTCCTCCTAATATCTAACCTAAACCTCCTCTGTCTCAGTTTAAAACCATTCCCCCTTGCCCAATCTTCTCCTTAAGTTGAAAAGTGTTCCTTGTTACTTTGTTGAAAATTTTTATGAGAGGACTATGAACAGATATTGATTGGATTCACACAAAGCTTATGGTTGAAGTGGAACCCATGCTTAACATCTGAACCAGGCAGAGGGTAGATCCGACAAACCAGAATGGATTGAGGAAACAGTAATTTGTAGCATGACACCATGGCATAAGTGAATCAAGCTACAAAGCATTCACCTTCTGAAACTAGAACATGACTTACAAGTGTCAGTAAGAGAAATTATTGAATCTCTAAATATAATCTCTAATTCTCTAAGATAAAAAAGCAAAAGATGACTGATCCAAATAGATGTCAATGGAAATACTGTGGCTTGCGGCTTTGTCTCTTGTTTAAAACCCTCCACCTCCCTGGGTGGATTTTTGCTTCTAGTCATGTTAAAATGTGACCTCTGCCCTGCAGATATTATTCTCTCTTCAGTATTTGAGTCATGCTGTGTCACTAGCATTGAATGATAGGGCAAGTTGTATTAGAAGTAAAACATACGGAACTAACAAAAGAGGTGTCATTAAAATAACACAAAACCCATCTACAATGACATACAGCTTGCAGTAAGTTTTTTATAGTTTGCTCTTCCATTTTGAATTTCATCGTAGAGAAGCATCTGCAACAGAGTGAATGCTTGCATGCTTGTAAGACTTTCTGGTGGGGAGTCTTTGAAACATATCAGTGTAAACATTTCCTTTTATAAGGAAATTGATTCCTTAGAATCAAAATATTTTGCTAGAGAATACATGTAGGACTGAAGCTTCCTTCATGTTCCTTGTTCCACCTCCTCTTTCCCCAAACTCCTTCTACAACACACAGACAGACACACAGACAAACATACAGTCTCTTTACTCAGTCATATCCTTTCCTTAGAAAAATACACTTAAAACAACAATCAAATAAATACAAAAGACCCTTACCCCATTCAAAAAGGTCCCTGACCCTTTTTATTACAGGATTCTTATGTAGGGGAAGGCAGACACAGAATCAGATATATAAAATCTTTGCAAAACCAGCAGCAGATATGCAAATCTCTTTTTGAGAAAACACTTTCTGACATTTACCTTTGATTCCACTGATTTTAGGGTCTGCTGCCGGACCAGCACTTTTTCGTGCCTTGTCAAACACTGATAATAATGTCAGGATCCTTTCTTGTTCATCATCTACAACGGCATCCAATGATATCTGCCTTTGAACTTGGTTTGTGAGAAAAAAAGAAAGAAGTGTTATGATCTTAAATGGCACGTGTAAAACAGTACCTACATATCTACAGTCTGGCTGGGTTCACACCCAGATGCCCTTCTTACATATGTTTACCCCAAAAGGTAGCCTTGCATTTAGTGAAACTACAGACCTCTAGTTGAATTCAGTTTGATGGCAAGGTCTGCTGTAAAGCACACGGCTTTGAGACTCAAAATAGAAATGAATTATTAAGTGATATTTTAGAGTAAAGGTAATTAGATAATTGTATTATTAAAATATTGAAAATAATTAAATGATTAAAATACATATTATTAATCAACGAAAAGGGTTTATTAAAATGAAAGCAGCTTTATTGGCAAGCCAGCTTCTTTGTTAGGGCTGTGAGAGTTAACTGCACCTAAGAATATCTTACTGTGTTTCTTGTTATCCCTAGCACAATGCAAACACCTCTGTATTGTCTTTAGTTACATCTGTGAACTCATCCTTCCAGCCAACCCACTGACAGTTACACCCACGACAGGAGGCTGGTGTCTAATGAGACGTACAGCCAGACAGCATGGGGATGCTGCACTGAAGCAGACCTTACCTGTTGGAAGCTTTGTTTTTTCAAAGCTTCCAACAGCTGGAGCAGCAGCTGCTAAAAAACTATTTGAAGTAACCACAGTGATAAGAATATTAGGCAACACATCGGTTGCCACTGTGGTCAAACAGGATCTTCTGGGTGCCTTAGCCTGTATAATGAATGCCCTTCAACAAAGCTTGGCTTTTTTTCTCTGGCTGAACAACCCATCTCATCTCCTGCCTTATAAATACTTATCTTTCCTCACTACCCAGAGAACAAATTCCACATCCCATTCCACTTTAGCAATCTGCATTTCGATATTTGGTGATGTGTCTTCTTTTGTTCTCCATGGTTTGCTTTATGCCACTCAAGTAATAGAGTCCCCAGTGTCAGAAGCCTTTTGTCTGCCTTGGCAAAAACATTAACTGGGTGTTACCACTGCTTGAACAGGAGAATCTCAAGCATGTATGCAAACTTTGGGAATGAGAACAGCCACTGCTAACAGCAGCATGGAGATGAGCTCCTCAGTTCTCATTGTCGAGGTGCGGAAAAGAATTGGGAGCACTACTTCGGAAGCCAAGATTTCCAACACATCAGTGACGCCAGCTGTCAGCACAGCAAACAGTGAGGAGCTAGATACATAGCAAAGCCTGCAGACTCAGTCATATGTTCCTGGGGACTAAATCAAAATGTGAGAATGGAATGAGATCACGGATCTGGATGAACCAGAAGGATGGTTCCGGATGACAGCCTTGTTGTCAGAAGTAGGGCTAAGTCACAGAATCACTGGTAGCCAAAGGTGGAACAAGAGTGATACACCACTGGTTCAAAAGCTTGCCTCTGCTTGCGGGGATGGAGAGCCAAGAGCCTTCCTCCTGTGTGTCAGAGGTGTCTGAAGCCAGAAGAAAGGCTACAAGGGGCATTTGCAGTAGCAGAATAGTATCTGATCTTAAAAGTGCACCCTGGGCTATATTTCGTCAGCATCCAGACAATGCAATACGAGGAAAAATAGTCCCAGAACCACACTAAGGAGAGAGAAGCAGCTTGGAGTGAGCATTGTTATTTGACTGGGCAAAAGCCTGTATTTCATTCCTGGCACAGAGCTGCACTGCCCACTGCAATACAGTGTATAGGGTATGTTAGTGTATGCGGTGCATTAAAAAGAGCATGACCAGTAAGTCAAGGGAGGTGATTCTCCCCCTCCGCTCTGTCCAGTGAGGCCACATCTGGAGTACTGTATCCTGTTCTGGGCTCCCCAGTTCAAGAAAGATAGGGAACTACTGAAGAGAGTCCAGAGGAGGGCCACAAAGATGATGAGGGGCCTGGAGCATCTCACTTGTGAAGAAAGGCTGAGAGATCTGGGACTGTTCAGTCTGGAAAACAGTGGACTGAGAAGGGGGGATCTTATCAATGCTTATAAAGCTAGAGTGGGTTTCAAGTGGACAGGGCTAAGCAGTTTTCAGCAGTGCCCATTGACAAGGGCCAACAAGAACAAACTGGAACAAAGGAAGTTCCATACAAACACAAGAAAATCCTTCTTTGCTCTGAGGGTG